ATTACAAAAATGGTGGCTTGTTAAAAGCTACTCACTTACCAAGTAATTGATGTCATAGCAAAGTTTCCTTGTCCAAGATGACTCAAAAGAAGTAACTAATGAAGCAATTTTCAATCAAATGTCAAAAGTATTCAGTAATTGCTTTGTTTTCGCGCCACTATCTCAACCAATCGGATTTAAACTAAAACCAGCCGCGACTTGATCACTCGCGTTTTCTTGCGCTTCTAGCAGTTTGTTTACCGTGTTTTGACATCGAATTCTCATTGGCTCCTGATGATATTTTCCTCGCTATGATTGGTTGTTGTGATTGCTTTGATTTTGATTTTACGACACTCGATCGAAAAGCGCTCAAGAAGAGTGAAGAGTGAAGACTCGTAATAATACGAGTTTAAGAAAACCACCATTTTTGCTAAAGCTACATAATAATGTCAAAGTTCTTATCTTTGTCATATCCTCCTCTTGTTATGAAACTCCTCTTGCTTGTAAGATTCTTTATCTCTCCACACAACTCGCAGCATTTCTCTCGCTGAAAACATAAATTAGCAACACGATCAGAATTTGCTCGCGGTCTGGACTCTATAATAACTCTAGATAACCCTGTTTACGAAAACATGAAATCTGGGGGATTTAAATGGATATTTCACAGTGAAAGGATAGGATTTATTCTCTTATTATTATTATAATCTTCGAAAATCTATGTAGCCGCGCGCGTTCAAACGCAAAATGAAAAACATCCCCAATCAATGTCACATCAGTAAGGTATTTTAAATTTTAGCGTATGACCAAAAGATAGTTAATATAGAGATTTCCTATTGCACTTTCTTACAAGCACAAGTTCTGCTTCAACGGAGGCCGACACCCTTATTCATCAAACTTCGAGTCGAGCAGCTCAGATTTAAACAACTACCACGTGTTGACTCGTTCAACTAAGATGCAGCTGGTCGCTCCGCTTTCAAAAGAAGTTTAAATAAAAGCCAATGTTTTTTTCAAAGGAATGCTCACCTAGCTTCTGTAATAATAATGTAGGGCTCCCTAAGTTCTTTTTCTTTTCAGGTCAAGTGTCTCCTTATCTCAGTGCGTAAAATTCATGTCTTCATCAAGAGAGACGGCACGTCTTAACTCACCGGCAAACAACGTGGTTTGGTGTAAATTTTACAATGTCTGATGAATATGGATTTTCAACTCCCAGTGGTTGACGCGTCACGGATTTGATGCGGAATTTTGCACGCTCAGCCAACTGTTTAAGAGTAAGGATGAAAGAAAGGCATTATGTATTATGAATTTGCACGTGAAAGACAGAAAATTAACAATATCGGTGTAGTTAACATTATTCTGTAACCAGGAAAGTAATCTGAAAGTAAAAAAAAAAGGATTAAACATCTGCCGCAAGCATTTTGTGACTCGAACGATTGGAACGTTTTGAAAGACTTAAAATAAAACCAGACCAAATATTAAGATAAAACGAAATATCGAGAATTCAAATTGAAAATATTACAATAAAACCTCCTTTGGACTCTGAAGTCTTACTTACACGGGTGACACACAAAATGAAAAAGACATCTTATTAATCTCTCATTAAGGGCACGTAAGGGCGCGTTAAGTAAAGAGAACAAGTGAAGACTACTCTGTTGTTTTAACACAATACTGGATGTGCTGCTCATGGGAAAGACAGGGTTTGTACATTAATGGTGACCAGCATGTAATTTCTCCTCACAGTAATACTGCTCAATCAGTCATTAAGATCATGAAGAATCGCACAAAAGGTGCTACCATTCTGTAATTTCCCTTTAGAAGTAGATCGGCGCCATATGAACAATCGGGTTTGTACAAGAAAACTGAAAGCTGAAGAAACGTACAACAACGGATATGAAATGGAATGGCTGATTTGAAGATCTTTAATAAAACAATGAGAAAAAGTGCAGTGTAACTTTAATTTAATATTCCTGATCAATAAATCGTCAATTGATTTACGATCACACTTCTTTTAAGCTTCTGATCCCTAATTCCCCCCTCCATCCCTGTAACATTTCAAGAATCTGGTACAATGTTAATGAGTCTAGATAGATGTAAGTTTATCCTTGTGGATGCTGACGGAAACCGGAGGCAGATGAAAATTTTAACAAAGATGTCGTGAATGTTGACCGAACTTCGTTTACATTTAAGTATATTTAGAGACTGGTAAAAAAGTAAAGGAGGAGGGGAGGGGGGGAAGATACGGATCAGAGAAGGGGTAGGTTTTCAGTTTCTGGGCTCTTAGCAAGGTGGAGGGGGAAGGTTCACTAATTTTCAGCGACCCATGAGGGTCGGTCATCCTTTTTTAAGCAGAAATAGGCGCATAGTTCAATATATATATATATATATATATATATATCTATACGTATGGATATTTTTTGCAAGCGAGGGCTTGATTCTGTTTAAACAGTTGTCCCAGTAAAATACATCTTACCAAAATTAAAGTCGTAACTCAAAATCGGAATTTCCGCGCTGAGAAGGAAAAGCTTGTATCGTAGCGTCAATGATAAGGGCTTTCTTGCTATCTACTCACCCTCCCCCCCCCACCTTTATCCACATAACAATATTATATGGTGATACCTTCCAGTAGAGAGGATAGTGAGTTTATGCACAGATTAGATCCACTGCTTCATCCTGGTGAATATTTCAGCACTGAAGTAAACCTTTGGACACAAAATGTATACTAAGAAGTGTCTAGGGATGGAGCTCAAGGCTAGAAGGGGTCCCCAGGTGCTAAAACATTACCCTCCCATCCCCCTTGGAAAGGGGGAAAAAGGGAAAAGGGAAAAAGGGGAAAAGGAATTGATAACTACTGATAACAAAACACCATGTCCTTGATCGGAATGTTTTCATTTATATTGCGTAACAGGTTAACTTAGCAGCCTCGCCTTATGCAAATTAGTTTACCTCCTGTCAAAACGTCTCGAGAATGTTTTCGGATTTTGATAACGAACGAGCGAGAAAGTTTTAAGAACCTGACTTTTGTTTACCTTTTTACAGTGAGTTATTTGGTGTCACGGCAACGTCTTCCACCCTCCCCCCCCCACCACCTCAGCCCCTTATCCTTTTAAGTTCCAAGATCCAATTAGTATTTCTCCATACTGAGTGTAAAAACAAAAGGGGAATTTGGTGTTATAACAACATCACACACTCCTATTGAGAAGCTTCTATATTCTCCCTATCGGTTTGTAAGATAACATAAATTATTGGAATTGGAAGGAGAAGTTGCAGGTTAAACACTTCTGAGCATTAAATGGTTTGAGAAATGTCATAGAGATGCTTAATCCTTTCAGACCTCCTGATGCAGACTATCTGCCTTAAAATTCAAGGAAATGTTCCCTTTTCATCAACACCCTGCTGTGAGGAAATGGGTGCAACAGAAGTCAGTTGAGACAGTTCTTGACAGCTTAACCCTTTAACTCCCATGAGTGACCGAGACAGAATTTCTCCTTACAATATCAATACAATATCAACCAAATAAGTGATGAGAATAAAGAAATATATCAATTTAGTGATAATTAGTTGATCCAATACTAAATTATTTGAACTAACATTATAAGAATTGTATGGTTGACAGTAAGGAGAACTAAAAATTTGATCTGGAGGTTAAAGGGTTAAAACACTAACAAAATCTCAACAAGAATAAACAATCATGTAGATTTACAATAGAGAATAGAAACATTATACAAACTGATGAACTGACACTGTACCTGCTAGTTTGGTGATGTAAAGGTTTTCCTTATAAACAATTTTTAGTTACTGATTTGATTTAATGCTGAGTATTCTTGTACTGCACAAGGGTCTTGCTTACTTGATAGGAAAAAAACATAATTTCCCAACCTCCCCGAAACAACCGACTCCGACTGTAAGCGAGTAGAGAATTTATGTTTATTAAACTCAGTGCACTATATATGTTCAGAAAAAATTATGACAAAAAGCTTATTAAAATAAATGTCATGTGATTTACCAGTGACTTGTTACTAATTACCTTCAAATAAAACAAAAACACATTATCTTGGTGTTGAATGCTGAAGCTAAGAATGGCAAGAAGAGAACTGGGTGTAATATAGTTTATAAGAGAATTGTAAACTTGACATAAACTTCACGAACCTGACAAAGCTAGTCCTTGCTGATCGCTACATAATACTCCAATGACGCCATGTTCAGACATTCTAGAAGAATAGCAAACGGGATAAATACACATGATGGTGATAGAAATAAGATATTATGAGGTAAAAGAAAGTAAACAACTGGCTTACATGTCATCTAAATGCGAATCTATGGATTTCTCCATCGTCTGAGTTGTGGAGGATTTCGACACAAACCCAGTAAGAGGGCGTAGTGAACTCTAGTTGTACATAAATTGCATTTCCTTTTTGGGTCTAATCCGCTGACAGTTTTTCCACTCGTTCCAGGCTTGCTCATGTTATTCACTTCCGCTTATGCGATCCTCTAGAAAATCAATATCGCTTCAAACTACGGACACTTTTCGCCCTCCACATCTATTTGAATATGGCTACAGTAAGCACTACTGACGATGTGTGTGAATGGCAGCTCACCAAGAACACAGTCTGCGAGCGAATCAAGCACATGTACAGAAACCCGCTTATGGCCGATGTATACTTCACTGTCGCAGATGGGCAAAGGTCTTCTTGTAAAGTCAACATCCCTTGTCTTGTGCTGACGTAAAAATGTGCTAATGAAGAACAAAACAGATGACACACGAGGCACTGCCAACTCTCTTATGTTCTTACCACACTTAGTGTCTTCTGTTATCTATACCTGTACACATTCCGGCAATTTGGAATCTTTTGTTTCATATGAAAACAAAGCAAAATGTGCAACAACATCACAAACTCTTGCTGATAAGCTTGCCTATTCTCCCTACCAGTTTGTAAGATAACATATTGGAATCGGAAGGAGAAGTTACAGGTTCATCACTTCTGAACATTTAATGGTTACAGAAATGCCATAAAGATGCTTAATCTTTTTCAGACCTCCCGGTGCAGACTTCTTGTCCACAATTCAGGGGGATATTCCCTTTTCATCAATACCTTGCTGCTCATTAGGAATAGTTTACAAACATACAGCCTCACCCAGCCTACATTCTCCCTAATGGAACACATCAAATTTGTTTTTAATTTCACTCAGAGGTATTCTTTATTTTCTTTTATTGATAGGAAATTCAAAGTTCATTTACAAACAAAAATTGGGGTTATAATAATTTCATGTTTCCAACTGTTGTGTATGTTATGAGGGAACTTTATGGATGGCAACTGTGACATTTCCTTCTGATCTCACAAGCAGATTACTGAAAGAAGAAATAATAAGAAAATAATAACATTAAGAGGAGTTTTAGTTCAACCCCCATTGTTCCAAAGGGTCTTACAGTCAAGTTATCAATTTCCCTGACTGGTCTCCATAAACTCTCTTGTTATCAAACTATTTTGAGAATTATTTTGTTCAAAGATAACCACAGGCAGACCACACTATGTGTTCGTGGTTAATAATTGTTTTTACTTTTGGCTGGAAGAGGTAATTTCATAAAAAGACAATTCAAACAATAGATTACAGGTTTTTGATTGTACATGAAGATTTCATATTTTAACTCTTAGATGAGAATAATCAATGTACAGTGGATGAAATTGTCTCAATTACTTTTTTAATAAGTTTTACTTTCAATTAAATCGGTGTCCCCAATTAGCTTTTTAATTTTATCATTACTATTATTATTATTATTATTATTACTATTATTATTACTGCAATAAAATAGGATTAATGCCTAGCACAAGCAGTGGAAATGTCACAAAAGATTTGCTCATCATGACCATGACATCATTAACATGTATCCTTACAATATCAGTACAATCATACAGGTGATGAGAATTAAAAAAAAGCACAATATGGGTATTATTAGTTTCAAGATCCAATACCAAATTCTCCATTGTCACATCATGAGAATTGTACAGTAGACAGTAAGGAGAACTACTCCAGAGATCTTGGGAGTGAAAGGGTTAACTGTGAGACCCTCATGCATTTTTCAGCCTCACTAAAATATTATTTGATCACTGATGTTTAACTCTTGCATCCTAGAACTATGTTCAAAAAGTTACTTACCATGCATCTGACTCTAAGCAAATGACAGGCACTCTGTCCGGGTAAATTTGCTTTGCGTTCTCTGCCAAAGAGGAAATCAGTCCTGCATACATGGGATTTGCTGTACCTTTAGCTATTTGCAGAGTGCATGGAATAAGGAAAGAAAATTAGAAGTAAAATACACACATTCAATATACGTGTAGATATAAGAAAGAATGAAAAATTAAGAATATTGTTTGGGTATGTATGCTGGTCAAACAAATTGCACTTTCTGTAAGTTCCCCATTTATCTGGTTAAAATAAACTAGAAAAATTACAGGCTTCTGACTGGCTGAAAATGAGTGCAATTTCCATGTAACAAAAAGTTGCAAAGTTGCAAATAACAAATAAGGTCTTAACTATCTGTAATGCTTTGTGATTCATGTAAATTATTACAAAGTAATAACATGATTTCTCATGTAATTAGTGTAGTAATAACATGATTTTGAGTGCAATTCACTGTTAATTAATAAGCAAGAGTAAATTTTTTGAAGCAACAGAATTTCACAAGCCCATAGGGTGAGTGCAATTTTGTTGTCTTTGAAACATTAACTCACGCTTATTTACACTGCATTGTAGGAGGAATCTTGTTATTACTTGATATTAATTTACATGAAAAACCCATCACATTGAACAAAATTTTTCCAGTACACACATGCTATTTGTAATTTGCACTTTTGCTGCAACTTTACAATTGTGTGACAACTTTGCACTTCTGTGACATGAAAAATGCACTCGTTTTCAGCAAATAAGACATGTGCACTCTCTTCATTCATATTACTAGGTGCAAAATAGGCACTCAAAAATTTAAAAAAATGATTAAAATCTTGAGGAAACTATGTACCCCTCTTCACCCAGGAGTATAAACTACTGTAGGTAACAGCAGACTATCAGAGACACCTGATAACATAATGGGGGAGGGGGGGAAGAGGGGAAATGGGTGAGGGAAGTGTTGCTAACAATAGTCTTCCAATGCTTTAAAAAACCTAGCACAATCTTTTCTTCATTGTGTGCACTTAACTTATACTTCATAAACTACAGTCAAATCTCAATAACTCAAATCTTTGAAAATAAATTGAAAAGAGTTCAAGTTATCAGGAAATTAAGAGATTGGGAGTGGAAAACAAAATGCTGAAAATAAGGGAAAAACTGTGTTCCTATTCAAACAAATACATTTTGGTCAAATCAAATTATAAAGGAGTTGAGTGAAAATGGAACATTAAATTTCTGCATAAATCACAACATTTTGGACTGCAGTACACTGTCTGTTTTGATTTTTCATGTTTTGAAAAACATATAGAGAGTGGCCTGGAGGGAAACAAAACTTGCTTTCAGTCTGTAGAAGGTTTGAGTTATCAAGGGCTTGCATTAGCAAGGGTAAAATTTCAGTTAATGTATGACAGAAATCTGGGGGAAATTTATTTTAGTTAAAGTTAATAAGGGTTTAAGTTATCAAGATTTAACTGTATAATGAAATGGAAGAGATTTGTAAAAAAAAAATGTAGATTTACAATAGAGAATAGGAACATTAATTCCCAACTGATCAACTGACAATATATCTCGCAACCAGGTTTGGAATAAAGAGGAATAAATTTTTTCCTTGATCAAACAATTTTTAACGTTTGAAAATTGATTTAATGCTGAGATTCGTTTGATCTGCACAAAGGTTAAAACACTTTTTTAAACAAACATGTAGATTTACAATAGAGAATAGGAACATTATATAAACTGATGAACTGACACTGAAAAATGTACAATTTTAGTTATTGATTCATTTAATGCTGAATTCTTGTACTCTTGCTTGACAGGAAAAATGTTATTTCCCAACCTCACTCGGACTGTAAACGAATAGAGCCTTTTTTTATCACACTCAATGCATTATACATGTTCAGAAAAAAAATTGTGACAAAAAGTTTATCAAAATAAATGTCATGTGATTTACCAGTGACTAATTACTAATTACCATCAAATAATACAATAACACATTATCTTGGCGTTGCGCTGAAGCTAAGGATGGCAAGAAAATAAATGGGTGTAAAAAAGATTTAAAGAAAAACGTAAAGCTGACATAAACTTCGCGAACCTGACAAAGCAAGTCCTTGCTGATCGCTACATAATACTCCAATGACGCCATGTTCAGACATTCTAGAAGAATGGAAAAAGGGATAAATACACATATTGGTGATAGAAATAAGACACTAAGAGGTAAAAGAAAGAAAAATGCAGGCTTACATGTCATCTAAATGCGAATCTAATGATTTCTCCATCGTCTGAGTAGTGGAAGATTTCTGCACAGACACAGACCCAGTAAAGGTGCGTAGTGAATTCTAGTTGTACATGACGAACATATTCTTATTGGATCTAATCCGCTGACAATTTTTTTTACTCGTTCCAGGCTCGCTCATGTTATTCACTTCCGCTTTTGCGATCCTCTCGAAAATTGCTTTCGATTCGAACCACAGACTGTTTTCGCCCTCAACATCCATTTGGAAATGGCTACAGCAAGCTCTAGTAACGATGTGTTCGAATGGCAGCTCACTAAGAACACAGTCAGCGAGCGAATCAAGCACATGTACGGAAACCCGCTCATGGCCGATGTATACTTCACTGTCGCAGATGGGCAAGGAAGTTCTTCTCGTAAAGTTAACATCCCTTGTCACAAATTTATCCTGGCTGTCAGTAGCCCTGTTTTCTATAAGATGTTCTACGGTGACCTTAAAGAACCTTCTGAATATATCGATCTCCCAGACTGCGATCTAGAGGGATTTCATGAGTTCTTACGTTTCATCTATTACGATGAGGTCAAATTGACAGGAGATTGTGTTATCCAAGTGCTCTATTTGGCCAAAAAGTACATGATTCCGTCGCTAGAAGACCGGTGTAGAAGTTTCTTAGAGAAAAATATCAACGCTGAAAATGTCTTGGATTTACTGCCGCTTATAGAAAAAATGGAGGAGGTCCATTTGAAAAGTGTTTGCTGGAAAGTTATCGATACACTTACAGAGAAGGTCCTAGAGTCTGCCTCAGATGCAATCCAAGACGACAACAGTCTTCTGGTTTCCATATTAAAAAGAGATACTCTTGATATCAAGGAGGTGAAAGTTTTTCAAGCTGTAAATCGCTGGGCAGGGACTATCTGCGAAAAACGAGGAAAAACACCCACTGGAAAGGAAAAAAGGACAATTATCGGAGAAGAGCTTGTGAAACTGATACGTTTCCCGCTAATGTCTCAGAGCGAATTTGCTGAACATGTCGCTGAAACCAAAATACTCAAAAAAACCGAGGTTATTGAAATCTTCCTGTACTTCAGCTTAAATCAGAATCCTGGGAAGTTCTCTTGCATCCCAAGGTGTTTAAACAGTAGAAATCTTCGGTGTTGCTGTAGAATTTCGGGTTTACTTCAGATGCCTTTTTTTTCTCTTGCCTCTGAAGAGTTTACTGAGTCCATCTATTTTTCTGTCGATTTTCCAATTTTACTGGGAGGAGTTGCTATCACTGGGGAGCCAGGAAAGAAATATACAGTAAAACTTGAACTCAACGGTAAAGTTGTCTCGGAGGGTTGTTTCCAAAGCGAAGATAGAGGGGTGAGTGGGAACCATCCCGGATTTTACATTTTTTTTGAGCAATACCACTTGCTGAATCCCGATGTACCCTGCATCCTTGAAGCTTCAATAAAAGGACAACGACTAGATTGTGAGTTTCAGGATAAGAGGGAGCTGGTTATTGATAGAGTTGCTTTTCGATTCGCCGGCCCAGCTTCCCAAAGCAAAGTTATATGTATTATAGGACTTCTTTTTAGACGCTACAGTATAAATTGCCTATAAAATTTCATTTAAGTGTGTATGTTTTATCAAAAGAAATGTAGTCACGTAGTTCATCATTGAGTTTCTAGACACGAGAAAGTCACTCCTGTACCTGCCCGATTATGAGCACATATGGCTGGCAAATAGTCGTGTCTTAACAAATCTACATCATTATTTTTCTTTTTTTTCTAAACTTTCTATGATTCCATCCATCTCTTTGACCAAGGAGGGTATGCCTGGTCGAGGCTGACTTTTAACTGGTCAGAGTGGATTTTACGCACCGTTACTCTGATTGCTATATTTTATCTTTCCCTGTAATAATGGAGTACAGAGCAACCACGTTGCAGTACTTCTTTTAAGAGATGACGTCAAAATGTGGTACTGAAGAACAAAAATGGTGGCACACGAGGCACTGCCGGGTGTGTCAATGATGTTCTTACCACACTTTGACGTCTTCTGCGATCTATTACTGTACATGCACATTCCGGCAACTTGGAAACTTTTTTTTTTTTATCTGATAACAAAGCAAAGTGTTGTTAGTCGTGACGTCATCGATTCGTCTGTTCTTCAATAGATCACGTATAAGAACCAATCAAATGTAATTTAGCTTCTTATATAAGCTACTGTGCTAAAACGGAGAACTTATGCATTAATGTCATTGTATTTTTATAGACTTTGTGAAACACTATTCCTGTACTATACTTAGGAACTGATTTTACAGCTGAGAAGTAGCTTAGAAATATATACATAAAAATACAAGGCATGATAAAATATTTCAACAGGAGTAGAGATCAATAACTTGCAACAATGTTGCTTACAAAGGATGGTCTCCAAAATTAAATTTCGTTAGGTATTTGCTTGATGCCGATTACTTATCAGTCTCTTTGCAGATATACCATCATCTCAGAGGGAAACAAATCTTAGTATCGAACAAAATGGTCTTTTCTTTCGACATTTATTATTTTTTGTAGACATTTGTGCCCAAAGATATCATTGCAACTAAATATGTCCAATATGGTGTCAGGAATCCACCTATTTTGCCCGTAACTCGGCAATGAGCATTTTATTGTAGTCTAACCAACTTAAACAACCAATTGTTAATTAAATATGACAAATGAAACCTCTTTCAGTAGTATTTCAACAAGAGTAGAGATATCAATTAACCTGTATCAATGTAACTTACAAAGGATGGTTTAAAAAAAAACCAATTTCGTGAAGTATTTTGGCTTGATTACTTATCAGAGTCTCTTGTAAAGTAATACCATCATCTCAAAGAGCAACAATTCTTAGTATAGAACTGATTATTATTTACAACGTATTGTGCCGAGAAAGCACTTTAGTTGGCCAGCTCCTAGGCAAAAATTATTCAATTGCATGTCTAACCAACTTCTATAATAAATGGGAAATAAAATATATTAAAAACCATTTTCAGTGATGGTATTACTAAATCCTTTTCTGCCCATTCTGCCTCTATCCGAATAAATTCAATAAGTTTTCCGCCAATAAACTTGTATCTGATCGACCTCGCTGATCTAAAATATTCTTTTACTGTTAAACCTGAGTGCTCCAGGCCGAAAAGCCATGCAGGCGAAAAATACCACATGCACAGTAACACCAGAAAAATGGATGCTTAGATAACTAACGTTAAAAGCGACTAAGTGAAAACTCCAAAGTGGATTTCAACAAAAAAATTTGTTTATAGTTAACGATAATATAAAAATGTGGTTTGAATATTTTAAGTTTCTCTGATGAGGATCTTTTCCTCGCGAAAGATCCTTCAGGAATACGTGGATCCTTATGAATTAGATTTCAGAAATGCAAAACATTTCGTATGTTCCCCATATGCAAATTAAGTTGAATACTGATTCTTAATAAATAAAACATTCCCTATGTGGAATCAGCTGCTTAGTACGCGGAAATTAAACACGAAGCCGGTTTTTTCAAGATTCGACGAACGAAATATTCTCCATAATCTGTTTACCAGCTTCGTTAGGATCCACTGTCGCATATTTAAATTTTAATGGCGTTAAATGGTGTGTTTGTGCCAACGAAGATATAACGAATAGCTGCCTTAATGAGCTGTTATCTGAAGCAGCCAATTATCTACGAAACATACGTCTGAGTGAAGAGAGTTCGATGACAATTATTTCAACGAACATGGAGGCTCAAAGAGCTTTCCTTTCGGCCGTGACATTCGAAAGGCAGAAATCATGGAAAAAGGTATTTTGTTTCGCTGTTATAACATTGAACAATCTCGTATCGGAAATATTTTACAACATATCTGGTCATTTATTGCAATATTAAAGCACTAACATCGAGCTTGTTACCATTGGTTACGCAGTGTTCATCAGTTAGCCTTTCTGTTGGTTCTTATCATTAAAAATTTACCATAAGGTCTGTGCCGAATATAATGCTTTTCTTACGAATTACAATTTAGAATATAATTCGAATTATCGACGGTTTTCTTCTTGAAATGGGTAACCGAGCGTTTTCCTTTCAGCAAAGGAAATTATTTGGCTCTTCAAGATTTTCATAATTATTCTTTCAATGTTTATAATTTTGCAAAATGAAAACGATGTCAGTAACTAATGTAAAATTATATTTAAGCTTTTATTATTCAAATTTACTAAACTCGACTTCGGTGGGACTTCCAAATATAAATTTAAACAGAACTTGAAAATGTCAATGCAATGTTTGTATCTAAACACTTCTTGGCAGAAGAGAGAGCTTCTATCATAATTAGTAAAAGTAGTTTAGCATAAAGAGACTACCATTGTTTAAGAAGCACACTCATAAGAAACGCGTGAGGAAATAAAATGTATCTAATTTTTTTTTTCTTCTTCTAACTAAATGAATTAATCCGTTGATACATGCACAAGGCAATACGATTAAGAATTAAATTAGCCTGAAAAATGTGTGAGACCGGCTCAAATGCAAATATTATTGCAAAAGCGGCCGAAAAACTGACAACAAAACTCCATGTCTTAATGTTAACGGGAACTTTCAAATAATGAAGTTTTATCGGTTGTTAGGGTGACCAATCATCTTGTACATTTATAGATAGGGAGTGACTTAATCGTAAGATAATCAATAACACAATCACACATACAATCGAAGAGCGCCATATTGTTATGTAACATTCCGAGGGGAGTGGGGAAGGGGGCAAAATTACCTTTTTCTGTTGACTTACTAACGAGGTCTCTACTGTGAGTTCCCGAACCCCATTTTCCCGCTTGGATTTATGGGCAGCACACTTCGTGTTTGGACCATAAATCCTAGCGGGGAAAATGAGGTCCTGTACTTCAGGGAAAAAGAAATCGAGACTATTTATTACATCTCTGGGTTAAAATTGAAGGGAGTGATTTCAATTCAAACTAAATTTTTTAAGTTAGCGGGCCGCACAGTGAAATACAACCCTTTTAATTAACAATCATGGCGTTCGTATTAACTGAGAGAGATGTAACAAGAAGTATGATAGGGTAAATCATATCGTTAAGAAGTATCGCAAAACTAAAAATTGAAATTATCTTTACCTGGAGCGAATATCATGAAATATATTCCTAAAATTTGTCTTGAAATATTGCCAGGCTGAAGCCAACTACAGGGAAGTGTTACACCTACTCTACAAGATGAAATGGAGGAAACACTGGAACAAAGAGAAACTACGGCTGCTGGTAAGTTGTAATGGGCGAAACGAAATTGCAAAGTTATTAGGGCGTTATGTAGCCGCTAAAAGTAAAGAAAAGCTATCATACCGAGTGCAGTTTCTTTCATTCACTTCGCAGTTGTTTGAGTGTCATTTCCACTGTGCAGTTGCACTGCAAAACCTTCTAAACTACCAGAAGGCAATACGGCAGTTTGAGCGAGCCATGGAGGTGGTCAGCTGGAAAAAGGTAAAGTGTGTGGTGTATGAATTCTATGAAGTGTCACTCGGTTTTTTGCTTGAGATATTTCTTGGTTAACAGCAGCAAGAGATAACGGCTTAATCATTGTTTTTTTTCGTTTCAGGATGAGTGTCAGGCAGGTTGCATCACGGGAAGGGTTCTTCACTTGCACGTCCCTACCCTTGCGAGAATATGCTTTTGTTACATTCACTCAGGTAACTTTATAATGTTTAAAAGCAAGAGACAGGATATCTAAAGTTTCCTCTCTAGTTAAAAGTCACCACCACTATTTTAGCTAAGCTACTAGTCGCTAGGCATTTCGATACTTGTGCTTGCCAGTCTGAGAAGAGTTGGACTTGTACAATATGTTTGATTAATAACCAACAAAGCTATGTACGAATTTGCGACGTATAAAACTGCTTCCATTTTGGGAGAAAGAATAAAAATATTAGCTAGGTAACAAAGAAAAATAACAAACTGTGAAAAACGCAATGATAAGCCATGGACAATGGCCATAGATGGGGAAGATTATAACGTATTGCAAATGACGATCATGAGTAATTTTGGCATCATTTTTCACCTTTCTCAAATCACGACAAAGTTCTTTTGCCTTTCATGTTGAAAATATTTAATTTTACGCAAGCAGTGGTTAGTAAATTTCTTTGGCGAGTTTCCTTATAAAAGCACATACAGAGCTTCCTTTGCACTGAGTTGAATGAATAGCTCATTTAGAGTGATATCACAGAGTGGTGTAATACTTATTCTGTCATTCCATATCTTAATGTGAACCTTGAAACAGCTTGGCTCTTTCTTTGACCAGGACACTTCCACGAGGCTCTAAGCAACATAGATAGGGCGATTTTACTGGACTTTAGAAATCCGGTAAGCCAACACTTCATCACATTTCATAGACCTCATTTATCAAAGATAAAAAAAAATTTAAATTGTTTCTCTCAGTTATGGACATTCATTGTTGAGTAGAAGGCATGGTATTCAGATTTCTGTTTTAAAACCTTCTTATTTAAGGATAATTGTACTGCTACAATAATTTAGCAGTCTTGAAGCTGGGAGAAAATGTAGTACTGACAAGAGGTTTTAGTAATATTCTCTCAATTTCTTTTGCAAAGGGTTTATTTTGCGTCAGGTCGGTGGTTAATTTCCTTCTAAATCGAGAGGAAAAGGTAATAAATCAGTTAATTCAATCTAATGCAACACCGCTAAACTTTCAAGTTCAACGGATAACAAGGCTAATAAATAAGTTTTCTATTACATGTTCAGCTCACAATTTTATACCAACGCATCGCTATATTCAATATGGAGTGATCCCTAAAAAATTATGTATGTTCCTTTCAAAGTCATAAATCGAATAACACCGCACTTGTTTTTTGTTAATTCAAAGATGACACTAGTTCCTGAGAAAACCTGTGGTAGTCCCTCTGGCATAATCCTTTTCGTCTGTAATCGAAAAAGAGGCTCAGTTATGCACTTATGACTACCATAGGGTAAGGTTTTGTACTTTCTTTAGAACCGGAATCAGCAAAGTGTGACTTCATATAAAAGTCACTCTTTGTCTTGAAAGGGGGAAATTATTTTAGAAAACAAATTATTTTTATGAGACCATTAGACCCACCTCACCTCTTCAAATTCTCCTTCGAGAAGCTTCTTCACTCTTCTAACGATCTACAAGTGAATTTCGCTCTTTCTCATAATCGCTTAATTTAATGTGCCCTACATTACAGGCCTTATCAGATGTAAGTTTTGCTCTCCGACTTGCTCCCACGCAAGTCTGCGCGTGGCTTCTCAGAGGGCTCTTCAAGAAACTAAAGGTATTTCCTCCAAATAATCATATCATGTAAACTAACACCGCATTTTCAGACAGATAGTCCCATTTAAAAGCTGAGAGAATTCGGTATAAAAGTCTGCTTTTGCTGGGGAGTGAGGAGTGGGGAGGGGGAAGGGGGGGGAAAGGAGAGGGAGGATTTTGGAGGATCGTATGGGTTTCAGGGGTAACAAAAGGGGGATCAATCGTCGCTAACAGAGTGTAAATGGAGGCCTACAAATTAACTACAATGAGGGGGAGATCATTACAATACCACAGGGCCTTAAGGAGGGGGGGGAGATCAGGCCTGGGGGATAATAAAATAAGGGACTAGTCCCTTTACAGTGACCTGTAAGCTGCCTGAAATGGGTGAGACTAAAAATTTACATGCCATATCTGACAGACATGATCAGGGGATGCTTAAACCTCTGAGTATTTATATCTTGTCGTATCCATTCTGTGGTATTATAAAATTTTATTCTCTAAATTCTCTTTCATCAATTAACAGAAAGAAAAAAATGAAGCTAATGTTACAAGAATTAAAAAACTCGAACCTGACCTTGCTAAGGTAAGCTAAAACCACTTTTGGCTCAATTTTTGGTGTCGTTGTTATTTTTGTGTTGTTGTTGCTTTTTATTTTGCACGCTCCAACTCACTTTGCAAAGAAAGAAGAGTGAATGGTGTAAAAGCTGGTAGGACTGGTTTTATGGAGAAAATTTACGCATTATCCAGTCTAGCTTTCAACGTGTTCTGGTTATTCCTCTGTCCAAACATAAAAATTGTGGGGTGGTGCCTCCAAGGGGTTCCAGTGTTAGCTTTCTTAAAGAAAGCTCCCGGCCCGTTCTTGTAGCATACACTGAACATATCTCGTGCACTTGGACTAAGACGAAATGTTAAAAACCGGATCATTGGATGATACAATTCAAGAGTTCTCATTGGCTTAGCCAATATGGGTTATGAGCCATTATACCATGCGCGCGCATGAAGACGAGTCAAACTGAAAGTCACTTTGTATATTTTCATATTCTATTTGTTCTTAAAAAAATAAAGTTGCGAAGATTCGTCTATATTTTAAAACGTTTTTGATAAAACAATTATTCCACCAGCGCTTGTTGGATATGATTATTGTGAACTCGGCCCTGCAGTCTCCGTGGACTATCTATCATCTTACATATATCCAACGCGCATTCGTGGAATTATTATTAGGTGGCTAAATTTTTTTTCAATATTGGTAAGGCCTGTGAAATAAATCCAGATGCAGTGCTGTTCATAAGAATAAAAGATCTTAGGACCCACTTTCAAGCACTATTTGATCGGTAAGTTTAAGATCGGCATTTACTTGGCATAAACTTTTTAATCAACTGAGCTAACCTGATGAACTTCTGTGAGGATCTTCCATCCAGGTGACCGTATGTTTATATGGTTTTACACAAGCGGTACCCTTCTATTCATTTCAAGAGCCAGTGAAAATGGCGCTACCTTCTTCGTTACATGACAAAATAGTACCCCTCAGCCACGCCCATCATTTTTCGGCTTCTTTTCAAAGTTTCTCAGCCCCATTTCCTGCAGTCTTCTAACAAATGATTTCCTTTACAATCTAGGGATAATTATTGACCATAGTAAAGCTTTTTTCTGTTTTCATCTGCATTAATCTCATTCTTTTAGGTTTCTTCCCTCTATTCGTGTGTCTCACTCTCTAACCGTTAGTGACGTCATTGAAACAGAGCGGACAACAAAAGCTGGATATGGAAGGACTGAATGGAAACAAAGTATCGCATCGTACTCAGGTATTCTTATTATTATCATTCTTATTAGATATTTGAGGGATCAGTCTTTTCTGCCGTATTTTGTCGAACAACTCCTTGTTGAGAACATTGAGCATAACTGTTTTCAAAAAAGCGCTTGAAAGCCACACACTATGGTTGCCTATCTCCCTGAAACATTTCAATGTGCCAACTTTTTACACCTCAACATCAGTATAAATATTTCATACTGTTCATCATACATTTCCAACAACCCTGACAAGGAGAATGTAATGAACACTTAAGAGTTTCTCTATTTGGTGATCATTTCCCTTAATATCATGACCTTTATGGCTAATTCAGCAGGAAAACCTCAAGAAGGAATGAAATGTCAGGGCTAAACGTTCTGAACTTGGCAATCACACGCATCCAGCATGGCTTAGAAATGATTATAGAATCATAACCAACTACACGGCTCAAAGGTTGGGAGCGTCCAGTGTAGATTGAGGGAAAGGAATACAGAAATGATCATCAACTAAGGAAGCTCTTGACTGTTGAACAATCTTTCCTCGTTTGCATCTTAGGAAATGTATAGAGAGAATTGTCAGTGGAAAACATGCACACTGACATTAGGGTGTAAAGGGTTAAGTGAAAAATAAAAAAAAAAGGAGTAACCTGTTTTAATCTTGTTTTTGAACCAGACCCCTTTATTTTCTTTCAGGAAATCAATCTGCGGTTAGTCAAAAGACTGTTCTTCTTCCTCCGAATCCAACCTTTTGTGTGTGGAGTGGCAAAACCGCAACAAAAGCTTCGAACGTGTCCGCCAAAAGACGAAAGTGGACTCACTGGGAGCAAGCTTGAACAATTTACCACAGAATCGAGTATATCACATCACAGATACTCTTTAAACATTAGCAAGGATCTCACACCGAAAAAGACACCTTATCAAACAAGAAGCGCATGCGGGCCGCGTGTTCCGCACGTGACTCTCAAGGAGGTCGTTAGCGTAAAGAGCGCATGCGTGTGTGGTGATAGAAAGTTTATCGGAGTGAGGAATTTTTGGGAAAGGAGCGCGGAGGATCTTGGGGACAACGACGTAAGTTTTAATAGGCTAATGCTTATAATCCTTGAGGTAACGCAAGAGACATTCCCTTCATACGCCTATCATCCATACGCAAATTGTTGTCCAAGCCCCATTGATTCCTATCCACGTGTACCAAGGTTTCTGTCTCCAGACAGATAAGCTTCGCTATTTTTCGGGAGGTAAATCAATTTTGTTGTGGTGGTTGTTGTTAAATCCTTGATTATCCAGGAACTTTCGCTACTAAATACATAGACGGGTGAGGAACGTAATTTATGTTTTAATGTAATTAAGACGCCGCTTTCAAGTCAACCAAGGGGATGTTTAATCGTTCAACAAAAATTTACATCTGTTTATTTCATAACCTTTAAATTCGTAACTTGTCCAGTATACAAACAATGTCATTCAACCATAACTATCGACAGCCTACCAGAACCAGAAAGGACGTGTTGATTACTTCAGGAAAATCTTACGTCTGTGTATTTAAAAACCTTTAAAATCGTAACTTTCCAGTAAACAAGTGTGGTAGTCCAACGGTAATTATGTCCGAGTCGGTAGCTCATCAGAACTGATCGAGTTGTGCGAAGCAAATCTGTTCTATCCACACCCTCCATAGTAACGTATAATAATTTTGTGTGCAGCTGACCCAGATTTGCATTCATCCGTCATCAACCAAACAGGTTCAGATCTGTCGCCTAACCCTTAAGCATGACTAGCAACAAATTTCTCAATACAATATCACACCTGAATCATAAAAAAAGTCATAAAAAGTCATAACAATTCAAAGAAATGATCGCCATCAAGAGGAATTTGAAAGTTAACCAAATTCTCTCCGTCAAATCCGTAGAATAGTAGGAGAAGATGCCGACTGATAAATGACCTCAGTATTAGGTTTTTGAATGCTTCTCGTGGTGTTTTGGTCTCCAAGGTATCATACTAATTGTGCATTTTGATTGTCATCTCAAATAATGATCATATACCAGCCTATGAACTTTCTTTGTTTATTTCTCCTTTATCGTAAAGTTTGTTCTTTCTTTTCATTTGTTCTAGGATCTTTCCATGAAAAGTGAGAGAATGTACTCAAGGTATAATTGATTACAATCGTCATTTCACTTTGTTAGTCTAACTTCATTTTCAAAATGATTTCCTATGGAAGTCCCCTGATTAAAATCTTCCATCATTTATTTTTCTTTAGGAGGTGGCTGCAAGATAGGATTCCCACAAAAATTCCAGACTTTGCAGGTTGCCGAAAGCTTCCTTAAAGAGAATCTCTCGCGTATTGTCTCAAGTTTACCACAAGCCCTGAAAAATCCGAACATTTTAAATTAATTAAATTTCATAATAAAATTTCATATAAATAAACTCAAAGGTGTAAAACCAAACGAAAACAAACCATTGCACGTTGATAAAACCTCTATGCTTTCTCTCTGTAAGGGAGAGGTGCTTGACCATGTATTTTTGAAAGATGCTATGCCACGGTCCAAACATTTCCTTCATAAACCACTACAGACGTGAAATATACCTCTTCATATATGTATACTTAAAGTACGAACACGCTTCTCTGACATATTTTGTAATTAGAAATAAAAGGCTAAAGAAGCCTCTTGTAAGTCTAAAAGAACAACATTACTGTGTTTTCTCATGACTACATAGCCAAGTCATCTCATGTCATCCTCACTAACGTTAAACTGATAGAAAGTTTTGTCTATTAATATTGCTTTTAAAAATTACCTTAAAATGTTTCGATTTTTCTATGGGTATACCAGTGAAATAAATGATAGGTTTTTTTAACAATCGTAGTTTTAAAGTTATTTTGTAAATCTTGTTACAACGCAGTCTCTGACTGAGTGATTACTGATAATTCCCGCTGATTAGCTATCAAATGTTCCTCTTGGTGTGAAGAAGCAATCGGATTAAGGTGTGAAATCTCTAGATCTATACAACAGCAACAGAAATATATGCAGCAAAAATTCTTCAACCTACGATACAAGAATGATGCCTCTTTTTTGAAGTCACTTTTGAAAAATGTGTAAAGAAGGGGATTGAATAAACCAGTGAAAAACTTGAAAAATAACGATATCTGGCGAAACCACGAAGGCAGTACAAACAAGGTGTAGTTAGAATCGGCTTCCATTGCCAGAAGGAAATATGGAACCCATCCTGTGATGAACACACCGAGCATAGCAGCATAGACCAACTGAGCGTTTTTTTTCGCTGTCTTGAGATTGGCTGTGGTGCACAAGTGATTTGTTTGTCGCTTTATTGCATTTGTCTGTTGCCTTGCAACGAGCAAAATGTGGACGTGGGCGTATGTCATGAATAAAAGTGGAATTAACACAATGGCAGTCACACAAAATATATCGTAGATAAAATCATTGTTCCAGATCGTTGATATTTCCTTCCATTCCGGGCTATACCACGAAAGTTGGATGAGCGAAGTGAACAGGGAGATAACCCATGTATATGCCAGAACGGTCAAAATACGAGATTTTGTCAGAATTCTAGAGTAAACCATAGGGTAAACAATCGTGATATACCGTTCCGTTGTGATGACCAGGAGGTGAATAATTGTCGATATCGCCAAAAATCTTTGACATAGATCCATGGCCAAACAAAGCTGTGGCATAAAACAGTTTAAAAACGAGCAGGCAACAGTTAGAGGCAACGCGACGAGGCCGGCCAGAAAATCGCTCGCGGCCAGGCTGCATAAACAAATGTTTGATTGTGTTCGGAGTGGAATCCTTCGCTTCACCAACACCAGGACTGTGAAGTTTGCTGTTAAAATAAACAGGGCTAAAACCACAAGACTCGCGCAGATTAAAATCGATGTGATAGGCAACGGTGTTGTTGTACAGACTTGTATGGTTTCGTTTGTCGCGTTGGTTGTTTCCTCCATTACCAAACTTGAATTTTTAAAACGCTTTAGCACTGTGGAAGTTTCACGAACGCAGGTTTACTTGTCGGAACCATTGTTGTCAAGGTTTTGCTGATCGTCGATTTATTTTCCTGCATGATTCCGCAAAAGTTAAACGCAGTCTATTACAATTGATCGATGTCCGTAAGTACCAGAACTTCTCATACATGTGTTGCCTCTCAAGGTACATCGTCCGTATGGTAGACTATTTTCTTTTGCCGAAACAAATTAAAATTAATTCATACACCTGCAAAATAACCTCGTCATTGTATTGGTTTGGACAAAGTGCTTTCTTTTACTATTCAATGCCATAGTTGCTAATAGGTTCCAGTCATTCAAATTTTTCGTACTTTCGTCCTCGTTAATAAGCTGTGAATAAAACCAGCTCGTTGGCGGAATCCATATTTCCAAACTTGAGTTTAGCTTGGATCCTTTTTAGATGCTTTTTAATACCATTCGTAATATAAATAAAGTAAAATCTCTCGAGATCTAAAAGAGAGACAACGATAGTCGTAGATAATTATTAAAATCGTCAGGACAAAATCTCGCTGTGGTGTCCTTCATTCAAAAAAATTCGGCGTGTACAAAGCGGTCAGTTTCTATTTTCAGCCACAGAAAGTTTGAACACTGCCCGTCTGTCTTTCAACCAACTGTTTAAAGAAATAATCAGCGGTTTTTTCTTATTTTCCTTGATGTTTGATAACGAGGACCAAAGTCTGTTCAGTTTTATTCATTTTCCTTTCCTTTTAATTAACAAACTGTAAGTCTTGTCCAGACTATTACGTGCATTTCACCTTCGTACAATTGTACACAAATGAACGCGCGTCGTGCTTCCTATCGCCGGAAAGATCCTTTTTTTTTGCGCCGGCAATTTTCATTTATTGTTCGCAACATCTTTGAAGAACTTCGACCTAATAATGATTTTTTTACATGCAAATGAATAAAATTGTTATTTCAGTCATCACGTTAAAAACAAAAACCTTTTTGTGAATTCATGTAGACTTGGCTCGTAAAAATATTGATCATTTTTTTGCAAACAATCATTTGATGAGCTGAAAAGACATAGAGAGTTGATTTGAAGCATTTTAGCGAGAAATAGTCCTTAATATGTCAGAAAAAACATGAAGAAAAATTTAATTACGTTGTAGGTATCTTTGAAATTCGGTAAAACATGAAGAAGGAATATTTTGTTATTCTTCAAATTATCATGAAGCATTAAATGGACGTGGGACTCGACCGATTCAAACCCTACTAATTCTTTCGACCAACATCGACCAACAAAAAACGAACATGACTTGTTTAATTTGTCAGCTGATTAAAACATGTGAAAATAATTCTTAAAGATATTTTTAAAAGGAAAAAGTTGATAAAGATTTTGTTTATCTTTTTTATTACATAACAGTATTAGAAATCTGGTCTTACAACTTTGGCAAAGATATAGAATCAGAAATTGCGTCCAAAGCAAAAGTTTTCAAGGCTGTCCAAGACTAAACCTTAATCAAAAAAGGTGCTTTGAGTTCTGATTTTATTTTCAATAAATTTTTATCTCCAAATCAGTTGAAGACCTAAAGATAACGTTTTTTGCAATTTCAAAACAACTTAACAAGCTAGGCAGACCCCTAGCAATGAAAACCACTTTTTAATAACTAATTCAGTAACATCATTCCAAATCGAGGAAAGGTTTGGCATTATAATGAATTTGAGAAACTTTTCTCCGCAATGATATCTGTTCGGAATCTATAGTTCATTGTTCTTCAGGTATTTCACTGTAATGGACCTTAACACTAGTTAATCATGCGTATTTGATTAAGACAAGTTAAATTAGTTGATAAAATTACAAATTACACAGGACCCAGTTGTTCCTCAGTCGATTAGCGCTAACTCAGGGTTAAATTTTAATCAGGTTTCTTTATTCCTTTGCTCAAAAGCCTTTTTCGGTTATTTTCCTCTATTATTTTAGAGCATCCAAGCATCAAATTGAAGACAAAAATAGTCATGCTGAATTTTCTCGCAGATCTGAGTTCAAATTTTACACTAACCCTGGGTTATCTTAACCCAGCCCTGAAAAACTCAGACGAGATCCTTAATAGTCCTCCAAGCCCCTTTAACTCTTATTAATTTCATACATATCTCTTTTTTCATATCATTTCTCGTACCATCGTATTCTATTTTAGGTGAGCCTGCTTGTTATGTCCTCATATATTTTAACACATGCAAAAATTACAGTGGAAAGGGTTATTTGGTCTTACTCTACCTAAAATATCTTCTTGAACTCAGTAACTCATTAGAGTGAATTGCGGAAATCATTTCTATTAGATTCAAAAGCAAACGAAATGATTATAATGATGATAATAATTTGTAATAATTATCACCATTAATCATAAAATTAGTAATAATTAATGATAATATTAATCCAATAAAAGCGCTTTACAGAGCGTGCGTAGTAAAATAAAATTATAGAACCTGGGAAAGAATTTACATGCTCATCGTTAACGTAAATATTATAAGTTCTTATCGAAGATTATCACTAAGAATGAAACACATTTCAGGAACTCACGGCCTGTTGCTAAGCAACCTGAAACCTACTTTAAAAAGCTTATATTTAGATAGAAAAGTGCAAATCCCTCGTCGAACAGTAGTTAGAGAAACCTGTTACAGTAAGTGGAATATTCAACACATTTTTTTGATACTTAGAGCGCGGTTCATTTACGATAGCGCTATCTAGTCGGAAAAAGTGCTAAAGAAGTGTCTCGAATTGAAATTCGAAGTTACTCCTTCTCAGCTCTTTTGTACTGCACAGTCTCTCAATTTTTACAAAGGAGGTGTTCTCGGATTATGCATATGAGCAAGAGATCTCTTGAAATGAACTATTACGACAAACAAATGAAAATTTGTTAGAAACACGTACCGCTTTATTCCGCTGCATTTTCCCTTAGACGAAAGCTTTTGCGTCTTTGCGTTTTATACCAATTAATAGCTCTTCACGATTTGTGAGGCTTCATTTACATAATTGCATCATTGTGAATAAAGTGCGAAAGTCATTCACACTTCAACAACGTGTTTTACCGTGTCGCTTTCTACAGCAGCCTGCTCAAGATAAATAAATGATTTGATTAAGAACGGCGTAAAATGCGTGCCAGTTACTGTTTATTTTTCTTCTAAACCATTCGAGAAAGTAATGGCCCTAAGACGGAAATAAGTATCCTTCAAGATCACGTTCACCTCAGTAGCTTTTACAATGTGAAAAGTCGGATACAAAAAGCAAACTGCTGTCAGTCTAAGAAGGCCATTATGCATATTCTATCATGAAGGAAGGTTATATAACGGGATCGCTATAACATTCTTTATACCCACTACAGCATCCTACGCAATTTTTTTTTTTTTACTGTTATCTTTTTTGGAGTCTTTTAATCATACGGGTGATAACTTGAAGCTGACATACGTTTGCTAATCATAAATTTTTCTATGGATATCCATGTTCTATAATGACTACAGCTGTATTGAAAGGTTTAAAAGTCTTATACCCTCGAGCCAAATGCACAAAGGGATCGCATCATAATTCTATGCAAACGAGAAACTCGCACAAAATTTGCATGGATTTGGAAAGTTTCAAAAATATCGAAATAACGAAATAACTTTTCTTCTTGAACATTTCTCATATAGTTTCAAAGTAAAAATAGTCCAGTTATAAACAATAAGTAATACTAGTATAACGAGTGCAGTAAACCATGTTGTTGACTTATAACCTATTTTTGGTTATC